CTCTGCACCGTCACTATCTGCCGCTCCTCAGGGCCTCGTGGAGCCTCTTACAGGCAATCCACAACCTTCTCCAGCAGAAGCAGGACCCCACGTAGGGGCACCCCACAGCTACTCTGTAAGGTCGGGCAGTTCCATGTCCTGGTTCCAAGCACACACCCTAGACACACACTGAGTATGAATCCATTAAGCCGCTATGAACTGGCTGACCCTGGCAAGTCATTTCACCGCTCTGTGCCTCAGTTTCCCCTCTAGAGAATGAGGCCGTCAACTGAACCTGCCTTCAGTGTCGCAGCAAGCATCAAACACGCTGATACATGTAAAGTGATGAGCAGTGCCTGGTGTAACCTTCCACTGAATACCCTGACCTACGTCATGTGTATGTCACAAGAACGACCACAGAAAAGAGGCTTACCCTGGCTGGACGTCTCAAAGCCAGGCCCTTGCTTACTCCATTCCTCAGTGTCCCCCACTTTTGTGAAAGGGGAGGCCTAGGATGGTCCTCATCTGGATGGTGGCTAGAAGAATACAGAATATTACTACTAACTAAAAGAAGGCAGGAGCTAGTGAAAAAGGCCCCAAATTCTCCATCTCCCCACCCCCCAGGTATTATTCCCACAAATGCCTCCTGCCAACCTGGCCTTCCTTCTGATCTGAAATGACAACCTCAGGGTAGCTGAGCCAGTGCCAAGGAGTCACTAATCACCTCCCCCAAGGCCCTTCATCCAAGCCAAGGCTAAGCCGGGACTGGCTTGGGGGCCTGGGGGAAGGAGCACTCAACAGAGTGTGCAGGCTTCCACCCCAAAAAAGGCCAGGAGCCCCCCCCCTCCGACGCACAGCAGGGAGCAGGAGCTATTGCTCCGGCTACACAGAGACGCTGCTGACGGCGGCCCATAGCAAAGCCTCTTACTTCCAACTTCAGGGCCGGGGCCAAAAGGGACAGTAGAGAGGGGAAATGGGAAGTGAAGTGGGTTAAGCTCCTCCTGGAAAAAGGTAGAAAGACATCCTGCCCCATATATCACACTCTTAAGGCCAGCCTGTCCGGCTGAGGTCCTGCCTGACCTAAACTAGAGCAGCGTCCTCCTCACTTCCAGCCTGGACGGTTGACTGATCCAGCTCAGGACAACTCTGGCCGTGTCCTTCCCCGCTGGGAAACCTTCCGTGATTCCTCATTACCTGAAGAGAAGGGATGGTAAAGATGTCGCCAAGTGCCACTATCTGCCCCATTGCTACACCCATGGCGGTCATCACTAGTCAATCTGGAACCTTCTCCCTCTAGATCTTCTCAAAGCAGCATGCCGAACAAGGACTACCAACCCGCAAGAGGCCACACTCTAGTTAAAGCTGCTTTCCAGGTCATCTGGTTAAAATGGGAGATGGACCATAAAAGTTCATTTTTTTCCCTTCCAGGGAACCAACTAGAAACAATAGCAAGGAACTTTTTTTAATGTGTTGTACCATAAACATGAAGCAAACAGAGGCGAAACCACACCGGCAAGAGAGTTCCACAAATTCAAGAAGGCTAAAGGCTGACCAGAGCTAGAAGGACTCTCTGGGTAAAGGAAGCAAGTGGAATCACAGCCTCGAAACACCTTCAGAGGCAGAGGCCTGTGAGTAAGAAGTGAGCAGCCGTGGTTGACAGAAGCCCTGAGGGGCTCGGGCCCGGAGAGGCCAGGACAGTGCAGGCAGGGAAGGCACGGGCTTCTTCGCACAAGACACGGACTGAAAGGCCGTACCAAGAGCGGTGAGGCATCCATGCCCACCTCTCCCACCCGTCAGAAGACCAAGAAATAATCATTAGAAATTTTACAGGAGGGCGTCAGGTTTCAGGGAGCAGGTCAGAGAGGGGGAGAGAGAATCGAGTGAAAGCTGTGTAAGAAACGCTTGGATCCCCAGCCCTCCCCACTGTCCCACACCTTGGCTGCAGGGACCAAGTATATCCCCTTCCGGGGGGCATCATTCAAGGAGAATTCTCTGGAGAAACTGAACCACCTCAAGGACAAAAAAAAGTCTAATAAACATACTGACATTTATTGGTTCCCTCAAAAAAAAACAGATGACTCCTCAACCCTGAGCACCTTAAAGTGAAGCCCACCAGGTGACAAGTCCTACCCTGTACAGAGAGCTCCCGATCACTAAATATGGACATGGCGCAAACAACAAAGGAAAGACTCCATCAGACTTCCCCCAAATGAAAACCTTCTCTGCTTCAAAGGACACGATCAAGAATGTGAAAAGAGCTGATGGCCTAGGAGACAGCATCTCCAAACCACACACCTAATAAGGGACTTCTGTCTATACTATATAAGCTCAAACTCCACAATAAAAGACAACCCAACTTAAAAATCAGCAAAGGAGCTCAACAGACATTCCTCCAAAGAAGAAAGACAGGTGACCAATAAGCACAAGGAAATGCAAATCAAAACCACAAGGAATTCCACTTCATACCCACTGGAAGGGGTATAATCACAGAAAATAATCAATTGTCAGCAGGGATGTGGAGAAACAGGGACCCTCATAAAACCACTGGTGAGAATGTACTATGGCACAGCCACTTTGGAGAACAGTCTGGGAGCTCCTCAAAAAAGGCGAAGAGTTGCTGCCATATGACAGAGCAATTCAAGACCCAAGCGTCTCCCCAAAAGACATGAAAACCTATAGCCACAGAAAAACTTGGGTGTGAAGTCCACAGTAGCATTATTCAGACAAGGTGGAAACAACCCCAAGGTCCACCAATTGATGAACGGATAAACAAAACTTGGTATCTCCATACAACGAAGTATTACGGGAGCCGTAAATAACACTGAACTACTACACTTTAAGTCGATGAATTATACGATAGGTGAATTATATACGAACCAAGAATTACAGACATTGTCAGACATCAAAACACATAGAAAAAAGGATGAAAAGGAAATAAATACAAAGAAGAGAACAGAAGAAACATAAACACATGGGCCTCACTTTGTATCCCAGGAAGATAAAAGAAAAGTTGTAGTCATGAAATAAGATCAGGATGCCATCAAAGAACAAGAAGGAACTCTTAAAAATTAAAAATATTGGGGGGCACCTGGGTGGCTCAGTGGGTTAAAGCCTCTGCCTTCGTCCCAGGGTCCTGGAATCGAGCCGGCATCAGGCTCCCTGCTCTTCAGGAAGCCTGCTTCTCCCTCTCCCACTCCCCCTGCTTGTGTTCCTTCTCTCACTGTCTCTCTCTGTGTAAATAAATAAATAAAATCTTAAAAAAAAAAGAAATTAAAAATATCATGGTCAAAGTTAGACATTGAGTAGAAGGTGGGGCAGAGAATGCCACCATATTCCATTAATCTAATCCATCACTAACTATACAATGCACCATGACCTTCTGAACCACTAAGAAAGAAAAATGCCATCAACTGAACTATGCACACAATAGCAACTCAAAGACTCATCCATTTTCTTCTATCATCATAGAACCCTAATTTTATTCAGAATGACAGTTTACTCAACTAAAAGAGTACAACCACACAGAATAATTAAGTATTGTGTGTGACTTCCAAGAAAGCTCCATAGAGGATCTCTAGTGATTTCAAGGAGTTGCCGGACCAGCCCTGGACAGTCTACCTCTAGACTTACTTTACATGGAAGAAAAATAAACTACTTATTTATGCCACTGCTATACTGGCTTCTATGTAATATGTACTCAGATACACTCAACCAATTCAGAAGAATTAGAAGATACAGTTAAGGAAATCTCCAAGAAAATGAGTTGGGAAATCAACAAAAAAATTATAAAAATCATAGAGAGTAAGTCCAGGATATCCAAAATAAGACTAATATGGATTATTGGATAAGAACACAGAGCCAACAAAGGGAAAGAAATCATATAAGTAAATTTCCCCAAATTTGAGAAACAAAATCTCACAATTCAAAGGGCCTGGCTTAAAAAATCAGAAAGTAAAAACATACATATCCCAAAGCTCATCTATGTGAAACTTAAGAGTGTTAAGGCATAGAAAGGAAATGCAAAATTTTCAGAGATAAAAAACAAAAACTAAAACAAAACCCAAGTGACATAACAAAGGACAGAGAATCAGAAAGTGACCACACTACTCGTGTTTGAAGACAGTGGAGCGGTGTATTGAAAAATGAATCCTGAAAGTCATTTCTAGAAAAATGATTCATGACTTAGATCCTATACCCAGTCAAACTATCAACCAAGTACAGAACAACAGGCAAAGACTTGAACATTTATCTATCCACATTTTTCCTTAGGGAGGTACCAGAGAATGCTTTCCAGAAAAATAAGCAGGGACACCAAAAAGAGAGAATATGAGATCTGGAAAACCATAGATTCCACACAGGAGAAAAGCAAAAGCAGGCTCCAGAAGGACCTATTGCACTTCCCCACCACGGGCTAAGTGTGCGCTTGTCAGATGCTCTTCCCTGCACCCCTTTTCTGTGTGCACTGGGCCCCTGGGAGGTAAGCTCCCAGAGCAGGCACTACAGCTTACTAGGCTCAGAGGAGATGTTTCAAAAGCAGGGAGCTCTCCTCTCATAGCTCCCATGCAGGGGTGAGACAGGGAAAGCTACAGAGGCTAAGCCTGTTTGGGAAGCTGGGTCGGTGTCTCTCTTGGGGTGAGCTATCCTAAACCTACAGCCCGCTTCTGCAGACCCTGCCCAACCAACAGTGGCCCTGCTGTGGCCCTAAAGCGAACTCAGGACTTGGCATTCCAAGAGTCCATGTAGGCTCTTTGGCGACCCTCCTTCAGTGTCCCCTGAGGTCTTGTTCCAGTAGTCCCCTTGAGGCTGTCATCAACTCACAGGACAGGGCCTTCTCCTGCTAGCTTGGCTCTCCGGCAGCCCCTGCTGCTCCTGGGTTCAGCCTCCCACCACCCTGTGGCCACTGTGTGCTTGGACCACCCTTTGCACTTGTGGAAAGGGCACCCGATACCCACTCTTTCTCTTTCCTCCTCCTTATCATCAACGTACTAGGATTGGAAGGAAGAGCTTATCGAAGGGCTTACCCAGAATTTCACAAGAAAAAAGGCATTGGAAGGCCCCCGTTCAAAGAGCTCCTTGAGTCCCCCCTTTTTCTCCGGGAATTTGTCATAGATCTGGCGGATGTCCACGGCTTCGAGGTAGGGGTCACTGTAGCTTGGGCTGGACTGGCCGATGTGCACGAACAAGTGCTTGTTGTACTGCGGAGAGAACATGTGGTTTGAGGGACAGGTACAGGGTAGCAGGCAGCCAAAGTAGACCAGAGCTGGGATCACAGCCGCGCGACCTGGAGCAAGTGACTTCAGCTCTCTGAGCCTCAGTTTCCTAACTGGTAAAATGGAGACAGTAAAAGGACCCAATGTAAAGCCAAGTTAATGGGTATAAAGCCTCTGGAGCTGTGCCTGCACCTAGTAGGCCTAGTCGCTGCTCAATAAACAGGGCTCCGTCTCAGTCCTGGCTGGCCACTGGATGCCCTCGGCAAATCACTTCCTACCTCTGGACCTCTCTTATCTGCAATGTCAGACCACCAACCTAGATCAGGTGTTTTCAAACTGTGCTCCACCTGGCAGACGGGGGCTAGACTGCCCCTGTGCCCTTAACAGGCACTGGACTACACCCAAAGAAAGTCTACTTCTTTTGTTGTACGCACGGGGCTTCTGAATAAGAGTTTGATTAATGGTTCCTCTGCTGAAAACACAAGTTTGAAAACATCAGAGTGAAATGGTCTGTGAAGTCCCCTGGGTGCCCCGCCTCCTCCAGCTCCTCCTGCTCTGACCTTTCCAGATGACGCTGGTCACCCAGGACATGGGACACGAAGGGGACAGGGTGGGGGTGGCGTCCCAAGGATGTGGGCCGGACATAGGAGGCTCCTCAGAGCCACAGGGGAAAGGATGGAGCAGGGGGGCTGAGGGGTAGGGCAGAGGGCATGGAGAGAGTGCAGGTCAGGGAGGGAGCAGCAGAGGGAGAGCCAAGAAAACTGGGATGGACAGAGGACCCCAGGGGAGGGCTTTGGGGTAGGATCATCAACTATGCCAGGAGAGGAGGGGAAGAGCGGGGCCGGAGTGAACAAAGAAGAGGGAGGGGTGGATGGAGGAAAGGAAAGGGGAAGGGAGGGCCAGTGGAAGGGAAGACTGGGAAGGAATAGGGGAACTAAGGGAAACCCAGAAGTGGAATGAGGCAGAAGGCCAGGGCAGGAAGCCAGAAGCAGGTGGGGAAAGAGCTAAAGACACAGGTGCCTCCAGGAATAGGAGTGGGTAAGAGAGCCGGCCAGACCTGGGCCAGCACCTACCGTATCAGGGTCCTGCTGCTGCTCCAGGAAGGCAGAGAACTCCAACATCCAGAGCTTGGAGCTGGCCACACTGCGGCCCTGCCATGGGGGTGCCGGGGGCGCTGAGGGCGACGGGGTGGGTCCTGCAGGAGACTCAAACCCTGCACGCAGGGGGAGAGGCACATGGGGAGCGGTCCACACACGGCCTCCCTGCCGACAGCCCCTGCGAGGATCCTGGGCCCAGCAGTGAGGCCCTGAGCTGACCAGGACATCTCTTGCCTTCCCTAAATAGGCCTCCTAGCAGGGGTGGTGGAGGGCGGCACTTGGCCTTATACAAGCTGTACCCTTGAGCCCCTGGGAAGAACTGCACTCGGGGGAAATGGACATTGGATGGAGGGCCAGGATGCCAACGGGACCAAGGGCTTCCTGAGCAGCACTGCCGGGTTTGCGCCGGGGAGGTTGTGGTCCAGTCCGAGACAACCAGACCCAACCACCCCTATGATGCTGAAGCCCCGTGGGAGCAGGAAGCTTCCTGATCTGTTCACTGCTGTCTCTCCAGCCCCTACAACAGCGCCCGGCTCAGAACAGGCACTCCATACAGGTTTGCTAATAAAGGAAGTAAGGAACGTGGTAAGAACTGACAAGGTATGCACTCGGGCGTGGAGAGCAAAGGCTTCTCCAAAGACGGCGATGCCTGAAGGAAGTAGCAAGTACACGCAGGAGGCAGGAGGTGAAGACAGGGAAAAGCACTCGGAGCAGAGGGCCGGGCAGAGGCAAAGGGAGAGGGCTGTGAGAAGCTCAGCGGGTTTGGAAGCTAGGTCTTCAGGGGAACTGGAGAGCAGGAGGGTTTGTGCCCGTGGCAGGAAACAAAGGTGAAGAGATGGGCCCGGGGGCTAGGCTAAGTGGCATGAATTTGAGCCTGAGAGTTTGGGAGTGACAGGATTGGAGGCGGGGCAGTGAAATGATCAGAGGAGCATTTCTGGAAGGTCCTCCTCAACGTGAAGGACTAGGCAGGGGTGAGGTTGTCAGAAGCATGGTCCTGGGGACATTTTCAGGGGAAAAATGAAGAAGGCCCAAACGAAAGCAGTGTGGTGGAGGGAAGAGTCAGGGACACAGGAGGCACACAAAGGAGCAAAACCCCCAACTGTGGCACCTGACAGGATGGGAGAAAGCAGAGAGGCAGAACTCCAGGACAGGAGAGGGAGGCGGGGGGGGGGCCCGCGTGCTGAGGTGGGTAAGTCAGGAGCACTCAAGGAAGGAATCGGAGAAGAAACAAGGGGTGGGGGAGGGCCGTGCTGGACACGTTAGCCATGCCTAATGCCCCAGCTGAATGGCTCGCTCATCGGTGAGGCACTGCTCACGGAGGATGTGCCGTGTGCCGGCCACAGCTGGCTCCGTGGAAGCGCAGACCAGTCGCTCACAGACACTGGGCCCCCCAACCCGATACTGGCAATAAAAAGCATCAAGGGCTAGATGGGGGCGCAGAGCGCTCAGGGTGCCTAAGCTGGGCAGGGGCAGGGCAGAGAACTTGTAGGACGGGGAGCCTGAGCCACAGCCCAGAGGCAGGGCAGGTGGAGGCACGGAGGGCAGGAGAGAGAGGAGAGAAGCTGCGTCACCAAGGAAAGCCATGCAAGTCCTACTACAGACTTTAGATCATACCCAGAAGGCACCCAGAAGCCAGGAAAAGATGTTAAGCCTAGGAACCACAGGGTGGGATGGATGCTTCATAAAGGTCACGGAGGTGAATCACGGGGTGAAGAGAGGAGGCAAGATAAAACAAGACACAGGTTAGGAGGCTACTGCAGTCATGCAGGCAAGAGGAGGAGGGCCTGAACCAAGACTGAGGCCAGTAAGAGGAGGGGACAGACAGGAGGGTGGGTTACTTGGGGCTGGGAGAAAGCAGCCATCAGAACCCCAAGAGGGGAGAGCACTGCTCTCAGGACAGGACGAGCCAGGCTAGAAGGTCAGCAGAATCATTCCCCAGGCCAGAAAAGGTGGTTAAGGGTGAGGATCCTGCCTTGTCCTGCAGAGAAGGAAGGAGGTGAGGGACCCTCATGAGAAAGAAGTATCCCCTGAACAGGGAGGAGGGACACCCATGCTCCACAGCTCTACTCAGGAGGGCTCCCTCTGCTAGCCAGCAGCTCCAGGACAGAAAGTCATGCTCTCCTCAGATCTCCCATTTTGAAGGAGAAGACCAGTGTCACCAAGAAGGGGGCCATTCCAAGAGCCAAGCTGTCCGGGGCACTCATGCAGTATACAGGGGCAACCAGGTAGAACAGCGGCCCTGGGGCACAGGCACTCCCCTTTGGACTGCGTGCACCCCTGAAGGCCCTGAGCCCAAGCTGGGGAGCAGGTCAGGCAGCCCAACTGGCACAAGGGGCTTGGTGTAGCACAGAGGTGTGCATGGTAGGGGAAAGGCAAGGGCCAGAGCCAGGACACTGGGATGTCTGTTCTGAGCATGCGCCAGGGCCGCATCTAAACAGATCATAAGCTGTCCAGTTGTCAGGGGGCCTGGGACCTGGGTCGGGGGGCAGGAGCTGCAGGCGTGCGAGGTGCCAGGGAGCCGTGCACTGCCGACCCACCTGGCAGAGGCAGCGAAGGCTGGACAGTGTAGGTTTGCTGAGAGAAAGGTTTCACACTGTGGGAGACAGGAGAGAGCAGGTGTAAGCCTTAGGGCAGGCGGCAGCCCAGGAGCCTCCAGCAGTGTCCAGCGCGCTCTGTGGGTCTGGTCCTGGTGGCCTGGCCATCAGTGGCCTTGGTGGGTCCTGGCCACCTGCTCCCTCCCCTGCCAAGCCCGTCTAGTGGACTCATGGTCTCATGGATGACCCACAGAAGTAGCATGTCTACTGGGAAAATCCACCCCTCCCTCTCATCCTCCCTCCCTCCCTGGCCAGCCAGAGGGCAGCTCCCCGGCCTCCTTCCCTCGGGGTCCCAAGCTTTGGCCCTGCTTCACCCTGGACAGAGTGGCGTTTCGGCAAATGCCACCCCAGGGTGTCCAGGCTACAGACTGAGCTGTTGCCTGCGAGCGGGAGACCCTGATTTCAAAGCTTCAGCCCCTGCTAAAAGGCTGAGGCCAGCCTGCGGTCCTGTCCCAGACTGGGGGCCAGGCTCCACAGCACACATTTATGCGCTCGGGTTCAGCTCAGAGAGCAACTGGCAGCAGGCCATACTCACTCGTGGGATGTTCCGGCTTGGCCCGGCAAAGCTCCTTGCCAAAACTGAGGAGGCAAAAAGCGCAGAGTCAGCAGAGGACCAGGCACGTGGGCCGCGGTGCGGGGAGGCCAGGCAGGCCTCAGCTGGAAGGCGGGGCTGGGGGCCTGGACCCAGTGGGTGGTAAGGAGAGAGTTAGCACTACTGTCCAGCACAAGTGTTTCGAGGAGCCCTAGTCTCTGGACCTGCTCTGCTGAGAAGGTGCTCCTCGGGAGAAAGCCCAGGTTTGGCATCACAGCAGGGATATTCCTCCCTTAGAAGCCCACAGTGCGTAGCAGCACATCAGGCCCAAACAGTCCCAGATTTCAGAAACCTATTTAGTTCTAAGTGTCCCAAACTTCCTCATACATGATAACTTTGTGTCGTTATCTAGGCAATATCCTGAGGGACTAGCGGTCTCTGGAACACACTCTGAAAACCGCCAGACGAGAGGGTCACTGAGCAAGGGGCCAGTCCCGGTCCCATCCCCACACGCTGAGGGTGGTGCTGTGGGTGCATTGTGAAGACCGATTTAGTCCCTGCAGCCAAGAAAACCCTGTGAGGACACAGCCCTGGAAAGGAAGAGCCTTTCTAGACCATTCTGAAAGTGTCACCAAGCTGGCCCCAGTCAAGAAATTTAAAATCCAAACAAGGGTCTGTTCCTGAGCATCAGCTCTCTGAGTGGCAGGAGAGCAGTGCTGAGTGCCTGTGGGGCATGGGGACGGGCTGAGCGGTGGAGGGCTGCTCAGGCCTGCGCTGATACTGCACCGAAGCCTCAGGCTTCAGCTCCCATCCGTCAATCAGGCCAACTCTGAGGAGCAACCCAGTTGGCCGGCTACTGGGGGCAGCTCTGCCCCTTGTGGAAGGCCTGCTGCGTCACTGGCAAGGCCCCCGAGAGGCCAGTGCCAATGCCAGCAGAGCCATGCCTCAGCGTGGCCCCTCAGTCCTTGGTCCCTCCTTCCTCTTGTTCTTCGGGCCTGGGAGGACTCAAGAGAAATGGGGCCTGGCCAGTGCCTCCAGCTCCTCAGGATGGGAGGGAGTGAGAAGAAGGGGCTGGCTCGGCCTCTGGCTCCAGGCAGCCCCACTTACCCCTGAGACTGCTGGGTGGCCTGGGCCCCGGGCGAGGGCCATTTTACTGTGGAAGGCTGTGGCGGAGATGGCCTGGGCGGGCGACATGGGAGCCATGCTCTGCAGGGCCTTGTCCTTAGCTGCCTGGTCCTGGGGAGACATTGGAAGGGAGGGCCTCAGCAGTAGTCACTACGGCAGGTGTGGGCGAGTGCTCTGGGCTTGTGCTCAGGGAAGCTGTCCCACCGCCAGTGGCCAGAGCCCTGGACAAGGCCCTGGGGGACCAGGCTCTCGCCCCTGCAGTGCTATGAACTTGGTCTGTGACTGAGCACGGGTCACTCGGTTCCTCTGATCAGTTTCCTCCTCTGCCATGGGGCGAAATACTTGTCTAGTCTATTTCATTAGAGTTTAAGGGCCTTGGGAAACCACCTGCCAGACCGTGTCTTCACGGGGACATTCTGAGAAGCCTTTTAGTCCTTGTTTGCCTCCACGCCCCGGCAGCTGGCATGGGACCTGGCTCATGGAAGATGATACTACATAAATATGTCCGAGCCCTCCTCAAACAGACAGGAGTCCTCCTCTGCAGACACACGGGCTGTTTGCAGGCATGGGACGGTCTCCTGTGGTCCCACCTGTCCCTGTCCTGCCCCATGGGTCTCCCCTTGCACTGTGGACACCCAAGGCACCCCCGCCTTTTACATGGCAGGTGTCAACACCCATTACATCCCCTCCGTGTGTCCAAAGACACCAAAGAACAGGTTCGCCCTGCAGAGGCTCTGAACTAACAAGTGCACAGGAAAGCATCTGTAAGCACGTGCAACACAGACGAGAACAGTCACAGTAATAACATGTATGCGTGTGTAAGCTAGCAGCTCTGGGCCACAGCGCCCCAATCCCATAGGTCTTCAGAATGATGACACGTATTTCAGTATTTCTGTATTCAGTTTTCTGTACTTCAAAAAGCCTAATGGGAACTGTGTTTTTGTCCAACATATAGACTAGGATGGCAAGTTTACTCAGTGTGTGTATCTTAGCTGAGGCCAAGAGACCGGATTATGTCAACTCTGTCTTTATGATGAATGTATTTAAATGGGAAGAATAAATTAGCCATTATCTGATAATTAAGATGGTAGACCCAGATCTGTCCCAAGTCCCAGACAAGGGAGAACTGACGGAGGCCCTTGCCACCCCCGACACTCCCACACGAGTTTCCCTCGGCCCCCACAACAGCCCTGTGAAGCACGCAGCACCATGAGGGGACCAGCGTCCCAGCACCTCGGGACTGTGGAGCCAGAACTGCAGAGGCCCTGCCACTTGGCCTCGCCAGGACCATGCGCACTCATGTGGCACAAGGTGGCCCAGAGAAGGTCAAGAACACGACTTCACTTTGATTCTGAACATCAGAGCACTTCTGTGAGGCGGCCAAAGACTGGCAGGATCCCCATTTTAAGAGGAAGAAAAGAGAAGCTCCGAGAATTTAGGGCACTGACCGTGGTGGTGGCTGGCCCGAGAGCTTGGTCCAGGTTGGCCTCTGCAGGCCCAGGGCAGGGGATGGGGGAGAGAAGGGTACACACAGCACAGAAGGCACAGGAGACCGTTCTGAGAGGAGGGCTCATCCTCAAGCCATTGTCCTTTCGGGTCAAACCTGGGCTTTGTTCTCAGAGGCTTTCGATAACCAAATAGGGAGCTCTCAGCACAAGGGGACCTCTTCCCGAAGACAGGTGCACCAAGTTCAGGAGAGGAAAGCCAAACACAGCAGGCCAGCCAGCCCAGGCCTCTCCCTCCAGGAGGACATGTGTGATGCAGGAGGCCGAACACTCAGAAAGCCTGTGGACCTCTGTGGTTAACAACTGCCCCATGAGGCCAGAGAGCTCCATCCGCTCGATGTCAGCAACTTACGTCCCTTCCCGGATAGCTGATCTGAACAGGCGACCGGGGCTCAGGAAACCACGTTGTCACCAGGGTGGAACAAGAATCAGGGCGAAGTGGGAAAGATGCTATGGGGCGTGACATCAGTGCCCAGGTTACAAGGCCAGGGAGACACTGAATTTGGGGACTGGAGAGGACCTCAGACAACCATGCTTCCCCTTGTCATTTTACATCTTAAACTCAATAGAGCTCGAGGAGGGCCAGTGACTCACCACGCCCCCGTGGCACAAGGGCAGAGCCAGCTACACCGGTCCCGAGTCCTGGGGGATTTCCACCAAACAAGAAGTCTGTCCAGGGAGACAAATGACACTGGGTCCCAGACCCCTCTGAGAATATGACAAAATCCTCAGACCACCCTCTCCAAGAAAACGCACGCACACAAAGATCTGCGTGTTACTTAAGGGGCTCATGGCTTCCCTCGATGTCCGTCCAGTGGTCTAGCAGAGCTCTCCCCAGCCTGTAAGTTAGAGCCTAGAGACAAAGGTAGCAATTCCTTGAAGCAAATGGGGGCCATACAGATGGTCCCCAAGGGAATTAAAAGTTTCCCTCGATGGCCGTAAACAGAACACTGGAAAGTCTCTTCTCCATTCTAGCTCTCTGCCAGGGTCCCAGCAAGTCAGAGGCAGACCGGAGAGGGGAAGTGAGAGCAAGCTGGACTCCAGACCCCGGGGGGTCTCCAGGAGTATGTGTTCTCGGCCTGAGAGGGAGGGAGCGACAGCTGAGGCCCAGCCAGCTGTCCAGGGGACAAAGGAGCGAGGTGCTGGGCTGCAGCTGTGGGGGCGGGGGACAGCTGGGCCGAGTGGGCCGTGGGGCGCGGCTTCCTGGGAGTTCCCACCACTCGTTCAGAGCCTCCAGCGTCAGGGTCACCAACAACCAGAGCCACAGGGACCTTCAAGCTCATCTAGTGCAGGTTTTTAATTGGGCTCTGAGCTACTTTGGGGTTCAAGAGCCGTGGGGCCTGAGAGGTGGATAGGAGCAAGGGGTCTCTGGCCTATTCCTCACCAACCTAGCTTTGACCAGGGCAGCTCCTGTGATAACGTACTGGTGTGATATTCTGTTTGGGGAAAAAACACAAAGGGCTGAAAAAAAAAATATGTTAACTGCTGGTCTCAGTCTGACAGCCCTAAACGTCAGCTCTTCCTGCCTGGTAGCTGGGCAAGCTCCGCTACAAAGCCTGTAGGACAGCGAGCTCACTCCTACCTGGTAGTCCCTGAAAGGGTCCCCTGACTCTGGCATACAGGAGACCTGAGTCCTGTGGGGAACAGACCGCCCCAAGGGGTGTCCTGTCAGCAGCGGGGCCTCCCCGGAGCAGCCCCCTGCTGGGGACTGTTCTGGGAACTGGGGACTGGGGACTGTCAGGTGGGGCTGATCTGGGAAGGGGAGAGAACCAACCATCTGAGAGTGGAGTGTGGGGGGGGCACTCCCCCAGCTCCCGGGGAAAAGTCACCCCACCCCCACAGCAGGGCTTCCCAAGCTTGCCCAAGCCCACCCCACAGGCTCAGGGGATGGCACTAAGGGGTCAAGGCCTCCACGAGGTCCTCAAGGAGTGGGGCGTGGAAGGCAATCCCGCTGTGACCTGGGGAGTAAACTGCCCGGGAAGGGGGATGCTGCAGGGCCTGGGGGTCACACACACACACACAGCTCAACTGTCATTCCCGGTGCAGACAAGAGCAGTTACAGGCTGAACCCCACTCTTCTCAACACCAAGAAGCACGCTGGCTCTGCCCACCAACAGCCAGTCCCTGAACCCAAAGGGAAAAAGAGCCCTAACTTCTAGGAAGCTGGCCCCGCCTATGCCCTCGGTCCTCCTTCCCACCACTGCTGGTTTGCCTTACCTTTAGCTTGGCCTGGATCTCGCGGGCTTTGCGACGAGCCAGCACCTGGATGTGGCTGGAGACCTGTAGCAAGAAGAGAAGGCTCCTGTCCCTACCTCCCAGGAGGCCTGTGCTCCCCATGCTGGCTCCTTGACCCTCAGCCCTGCACCATCCTCAAGCCACGTCTGTGGAATGAGTGAGTGAAAGGGGCAGTCAGTGATGGGTCTTCAGTCCCGCCACATCCAGCTAACCCAGAGTCTGGCGATAAATCAAAGTACAGCACTAGTCCTTCGCTCTCTGTTCTTCCAGTGTCCTGGGGACGGGAGCGGGGGACTTCCTCCCAGCTGATGGCAGCAGGGACTGCAGGGAAACTGAACGGTCTGTGGCACACCAGAAAGAGATAACCCCTCTGAACCAGCCCCACTGAGAAGCCACCCTTGGACCTGCAGGGGGCCTGGCCCACCACGGGAACAGGCTGGGACTGGGGTACCTACCCCTGGGACCCACACTCATCCCCCAGGGCCCACCTGCTTCCTGGTGCGGGTCTTCCCTGTCCGGAGCTTGATGTAGCGGGCAATCAGCTCATTCCGACCTACAGAGACACCAACAGCCTCTCAGCGGGCGAAGGACAAAAGGCAGAAACACGGGAGGATCTGAGGATCCCTTCCCTCACCCTCTGCCCACCTTCAGTGGGGACTTGGGGTGAGGATTCTGTAGTTTCCCTCCGGCCCTCCTTGGATCCCAGGGATCTCCCAGCAGCAACAGGCCTAGCTGGGGGACTGGTAACCTGAGAGCAATGAGGTGACAGGGCTGTGAGCCCCATACGAACTCGAGGAGCCCTCTCAGAGGCCACCTCCTCCCCCCACTCTACGACAGTGGGACAGCTGCCAATCTGTCCTGCTTCCTCCTAGGGCCTTCTGCACACTTGGGAGGCTGCAGGGAAGTACCTGCACCTTGACACTCGCCCATGCAGCCCCCTGCCCACACAGCTTCCACCACCTCCAGAGATGAGCAGTACCTCACGAGAGGTCTTGCCTTGTCTGTGGGCAGCAGCGGGGATGAGAGACATAAGTGCTGAGACCCTGAGCATCCTCAGGCAGGAGGCCTGAGGCCCTTAACTCAGATCAAGAAAACCGGGGCAGCCCACACCTCCAGCTGCATGGCTCTGACCAGACCAGTCACCAGGTCGTACTGAGTGTTCGCCAAGGGAGCTGTCTCTTAGAGGCTGAGGCTGTGTCTAAGGGACCCTGAAAAACTGTAAGGAGCCACCCACGTCCTCTACTATTGTAAATGCAATTAATGAAAGGCGGTTCTGTTTTCAAAGCAACCACCACACCGCTGAGGAGAGACGTGTGCCCATGCTGTAACCCCAGTGCGGGCCACAGACAGCGCAGGCCACTGAACACAGTGCGCTCAGGGCACAGGGGTCAGCTCAGGCTGGGTGGTCAGGTGAGCCTTCTGCTGGACCTTGACCACTGGGTAGGATTCAACTATAAAGAAGGGCATTGGGCTAGGGAGGGAGGGCAAGGGGGTTTGAGCAGGAGCTGTCACCTCCCTGGGCCCACTCTGGGGCCAGCTCTGGGGCCAGCAGCAGAGCCACCAGCCCGCCCCATCCCGCCGGCCCTTGCTGAGCCTGGAGGGCTGTGGCTATGAGTCAGGAGGTGCGGGGGGACAGGGGTGAGACAAGTGGGCTGTCCGCCACCCCGCTGTAACTGGAGAGCACAGCCAAGGCCAAGCTGGCCCCCCAGATGACCTTTCCCCACTGCCAAAACTGAACTAAGAGGCCACCCTCGGGAGGACTTGTCTGCCAGGAAGACTAGCTGGCCTGGGAGCACTGGACAGTCTGTGTCAGGGGAAGGGGTGGGGGAGGACCCGACCCTGAGGCTATCACCTGCGGGCTGGTCTGCACCTCAAACAGGGATCCGGGGGCGCGTCGCTTCTCAAAGCTCTCCACTGAGAGGTATTCCACGGGCTCCTTTAAACCAATGTCCAACGACTGCTGAACAGTCCCACACCGTGTCTAAGAGAGACATTCACTCTGCCGCTAGGAAAGGCTCTCATCACCGGCCAGAGGGTCTAAGTCATCGCCAGAACTGGGAGTTGGGAGCTGGGTGTAACCCAGTGGCTCCAAAAACAAGATACGGCATCTTGGCACGTCCCATTCCTCCTGGACCTTCACCCAGACTTCCCTTCTTAAACCAAGCCCTTTTAAGGTTCCTCCTCCAGATGATTCTAACCAAATGTTTACAGACTTCGGAAGCAGACCTTAACCTGAGCTCCATGAGAGCTCTCTGCGGCTCAGTGTCCTTTCCTGTTAAAGGAAGAGGCCCGTGCGAGTAGTCGAGTTCAGGGCCCAGCCTGGGAGCGAGGAGAAGAGCAAGGGAGAAGGGAGGGTTCCTGAGACCAGGAGACTGATCACAGAGCTGGAGGGCGCGCTCCAGGGAAGGGTGAGCGGGAGAACGCAGGGGCTGCTGCTGGGAAAGGCAGGGGAATCGAATATTTGTATTACTGGAAAGGCTCTGGTCAGCAGTGGGCTATTAGTAGTCAAGCTCTGGGAGAGTCAAGTTATATGTGGATTGTGCACTGTCTGTGCTGGGGGTTGGGGTGGGGTAGAGGTTGGCCCCTCTGACGCCCACATTGTTCAAAGGTCAAATGTATATCTGGTATCTAGCCACTTCTCACCACCTCACCCTCCATGGTCCAAGCTCCCATCCTCTGTGGCCTTCTACCTAGACCCCGTGCCCTCAGCCTATTCTTAACACGGCAGCCACAGCAACCCTGTGGCTCAAACAGCCTCCAATGGCTTCCCATCTCACTCAGATTGCAAGTGTTCAAGCCCCTGCAATGGCCTGGAAGCCCCCAGAGCCTGTTCCCTCCATCCCCAGCCGGGCCGCTCTGACCGTGCAGCGTCTCCACAGGCTCTCCTGGTCCTTCCTGAGACGTGCCTGGCCCTCTCCCACCTGAGGCCCCACCTGAGGACCTCCATGTGCCTCGTTCTCAGCCCCGCCACACACGGCCCACTCCCTCCCCTTCCCGCCCTGGACGCCTTCTTTGCTCAGGTGCCTCTGTCTTAAGAGACAGCTTCCCGAACTCTCTGCTGACGGCTGACGCCAGCCCCCACCCACCCCTCTGCGACGGCCTCGCATCTTTGCTGTTCTCCCCAGCACCTTCTGACACACCGCACGATCTTGCTCACTCGGAGCACCACCCCCCACCCTCACCCCCAACGGAAGAAAAACTCCTGAGAACAGGGGGTTTTGTCTGTTTATTCACTTGTCCACACCCAACACCTAGAACGCTGCCTGCCATCTTCTGTAGTGGGCTCCCCGTAAATACGTGTTAAATGAATGAGAAGGGAATGGTGAGCAGATGCTGACCAGATGTCCCACAAGGCATTTTGGCCTCCGACAGGTACGGTACACATTAAATAAAAGCAAATTGCTTTTTACTTCCAACTAGTCCAACATAGCTGTTAAAGTGCTTCCTTATCCCGGCCTCATTTGATTTGATTTGATTTGATTTGATTTGATTTGCAGGAGCAAATCCCGATTTCTACGGAAAAGCATCTAAAACTTGGAAAGCTCTCTTTGAGAAAAAGAATTTAACATATAAATGCAAAGTGAGGGGCGCCTGGGTGGCTCAGTGGGTTAAAGCCTCTGCCTTTGGCTCAGGTCATGATCCCAGGGTCCTGGGATCGAGCCCCGCATCGGGCTCTCTGCTCAGCAGGGAGCCTGCTTCCCCTCTCTCTCTGCCTGCCTCTCTGCTTACTTGTGATTTCAGTCTGTCAAATAAATAAATAAAATCTTTTAAAAAAATTAAAAAAATAAATGCAAAGTGAGGTAAAGATCGTCTCAGGTGAAGATGGACATGTTTACTCTCTTGACGGTAGCAACTGGCTTCATAGGTGTGTGTACATCTGTCAAAACTTAACCAAACTGTCCACTTCAAATACGTACAGTTCACCGTATGGCAATTAAACTCCAATGAAACTGCTTTACAAATAAGCAGACTAGGGGCTTGGAAGGGGGACGTGCAACGGATGGTCCTGAAGCATAAGCCTCACGGACCTCCCTCCAGCCTGCAGGAAGGCAGGCAACCGCGCCTGGTACCAGCAGAGGACACTGAAGCCGGATGATCCCACCCCGAGCACCCGCCCGCAGATCTGGCAGAAATGCCTGGGCCGGCGACACCGCGAGTGCAGGACACTGAGAAGATGCTCGGTTACAGCACTGCCCTCTGAGCCCGGGTACAGCGGCCCTTTTTCCACAGCACAGAAGCAGAAGCACGGAGGGAGGCCGGTGCCCAGCAGGGGCTGAGACGACTACTCCAGACATCAGAGATGCCAGGAGCCCCAGGTCATGGAGACACAGTCCCCTCCTAGTCCCACAGCGCCCTCTGCCCTCTGCTACTGGGCTCAGGAGTTTTGCCGCCCCACGGGCCGTTTTTGGAGCCACAGGAGCCAAACCCAACTTGGCTGTCAGTGTTTTTCCAAGTTGGGTATCTTCCCTTCCCTTTCTCTGGGACAGCATCCCCCTCCAGCTCATCTCAGGCCGTTATTCCACCCAGTTCTGTTCTGCTGATCAGAGGTGATGCCAGGGTGGAGAGCACCACTAGGCAAGCGCGAAGTGCGGGTTCTCTGTGGGTGTGTCAAGCCAAGAGGGGCCAACCAGCTTCCTTCCTGCCAGCGGGGTGCTCCAGAGGCCACCCGGCCACACTGCTGCTACAGGGCCAGCCGGCCTCTAATCCAGGCTTTATTTACACTTATGTGGGGAGCTGCGACCGCTTCTCTCGCTCTCGTAACAAGAGCGACAGTCGTGAACGTTTACTGAGCACTTTTGTGCAAAGGGACCTGTGCAAATACACTGTTCACTGGGACAGTCGGATCGGCGTCCCCCTTTTCAATCGTCACAGCCGCTCTATGCCACTGCTAGTGCCATTGCCTTCTACACACAGGGAACTGGAGGCACATGGAGGTTCAGAAAGCCGTTCAGGGTCACAGGCCAACAAGTGGTGGAGACTGAAACCCATCCAGTCTGGTTCCAGAGCTTGTCTCCTCAGGACCGCACAGCATGACTTCTACTTAAATGGAAGTGAGGGCCATCCTCTCTCAGAAGCAAGGACCAGACCTGGTGCCCCCAGAGGTCTGATGTTGCCTAGGGAAGAAGTAACTGTGGCCCAGAGAGGGGAAGTGATTCATTCAAAGCCACATGGTTTGTTAAGTGTCCCAGGTGCCACAAGAACATACACTTCTAAGGCTTCACGATAGTGCTAGGATGGCCGCCTCCCTAGGCGGGGCTGGGAGCTGCCTCCTCGAGACATCACGGGGCTCCTCCCTCGGGACCGATCCCCACCTGGCTCTCTGCAGGAAGCAAGCCCTTGGCTGTGTCTGACTCCCCTCACCCGGACCCAGGTCCTAGAGGAAGAGCCAACTATTGGGACCCCAGGAGCCTGCCCAGTGTTTTCACTCTCACGGACTGTGCTTCCCCCAGCCGACAGACACCAACATGCCGTGGATGGTGTAGATATCAGAACGCCACAGTCGAAGGGAGAAGTGGAGGGAAGCAGGGAGCATATGCTCAGAGGTAGGGCCCT